TGTGAATAATCATGGATTGAAGGTATTCAAAGATGGGCAAAGTAAGAGATCTTTTTACGGAAGGATCCCACAAGACAATGTATCGATTCATACCAAAAGAAAAAAATTGTATAGGGATTTGAAACGCTACTACTGGTGGCTGACGATGAAGCTCGATGTTGTGAAGTATGTGGCCGAGTGTGTGACATGCGCGAAAGTTAAGGCACGACACTAGAAACTGTATGGGAGTTTAGAAGATTTACCTGTACCCATGGTTAAATGAGAAGACATCACCATGGATTTTGTCACTAAACTTCCCAGAACAAAGGACGGTCACGATATGATTTGGTTGTTTGTTGACCGGTTCACTAAAAGTGCACACTTGATAGCAGCCAATGAAAGATGGTCTATGGATAAGCTCCCCAATGCTTACGTGAAGGAGGTAGTAAGACTTCACGGTGTTCCCTTGATGATTGCATCAGACAGCGATAGTCATCTCATATCAAGTTTTCGGAGGAATGTACAATAGGAAATGGGTATGAAGTTGTTTTTAAGTAAAGCCTACCATCCGTGACCGATGGTCAGAGTGAAAGGATGATTCAAACACTGGAAGACATGCGAAGTGCTTGTACCCTTGAGTTCCAAGGAAACTATGATGAGCACTTACCTCTGGTAGATTTTTCCTACAATAATAGTTACCATTTGAGCATCAAGATGATACCTTACCAAGCTATGTATGGATAGAAGTGTCGTACGCCATCTTGTTGGATTGAAGCTAGATAAAAACCAGTTTATGGGCCCCGAGATAGTCCATCAGACTGTTGAAAAGTTGAAAGTAATTAGGGAAAGGATGTTAGCAGCTCAAGATCTTCAAAAGAGTTATGCTGAAAAGAAGAGACGACTGGTGACATTCAATGTTGGAGATTCTGTTTTACTTAAAGTCTCACCGCAGAAGGGACTTATAAGACTTGGGGAAAGAGAAAAGTTGAGTCAAAGGTTCATTGGACCGTTCAAAGTTATTTAGAGGATTGGATACCAAGCTTACAAGCTAGAACTACTAGAAGAAGTAGAGGGTATTCAAAACACATTCCATGTGTGTAATATAAGGAAGTTCACGAGAGAAATTCGCAACATAATTCTGATTTTTGAGTTAAAATAAGAGGGTAATTAAGGAAATGGAGGAGATTTTTGACCGTAAGACGAACGAGTTGCAACACAAGATGGTCGATTTAGTGCTTCTACAATGGAAACATATGAATGAGCCAAAAGTCACTTAGGAAACAGAGAGTGATATGATGAGTCGCTCAGAATTGTAACAATCGTGTTTCGAGGCTAAGCATTGATGCACTAATGTAATAGTTATGGTCAACAAATATAACTCATTTTGAAGAAATAAAAAGGAATTATTCAAGTATTATGTAAATTTATATGCATTATGTTTGTTTATTATGATATATTAAATCAAGAATAAAAATAAGTGCCGAAATTAAAAATATAGATAAACCCGACATCTATGAAGAAAGTTGTAGTGGTCGTGACAAGCATTCCGGGGATATAAACAACGTCAAAATCTTACTTATAACGAAGAAGTTATCGCCTGTCGAAGATTCGCGACAGAAACAACACGACACTGCATGACGCAAATAGTGAATATACGATAGAGTGGCTTTTAGTCTTAGCAATCGAAATGAAAGTCGTAGTGTTCATTAAACCGAGAGTGTGCCTAAAAAGAACGCCCAAATCTAACTTTCTATTAGGAAATTACTATTTTTCTAAGGTTTGGCATAGCAGTACACAGCCCGTAATTTGAATTTTAGATCGATTCATTTTTGGCCAACACAACCTAAATGAGAAGTGAATATCTCATTATTAGTAGTGAAGCGGTAAAAAGATAGATGGAAACGAAAATCAGATGAAGATGTTATGAATTTTTACGGACTTTTCTTATATCGGTCTGTTAGAAATGTAACTTTAAAAATAGACTCAAAATTAGCGAATGGAATCTAAACGAAAGTTGTAGAGTACTGTCCCACCTACGTGTGAATATAAAATAACATCGAAAACAGGGCTCGTTTGCAGAAGTGATGAATTTTAAAAGTGTTTTGAATCTACCTGAGCTTTGATGGAAGATCTAACCGGTAAGCAACTCGACCCACCCGGGCTAACACCCTACACGGACCAATGAACCTAGGGCCCAACTTGCCACGCTTCTAGAACTTAATAACACCCTCAGAGGGTGACACCTTCAAGAGGACCATATCGCCCATCTGAAATTCCAAGTCTGAAGGTTTCTTGTCGATGTAACTCATCTGGCAGCTTTGAGCAGTCTGGAGCCTAACCCGGACCTGTTGGATCCGTTCTTTGGTCTTGAGTACCACTTCCATACTTCCCATGACCCTCTCACCGACCTCACCCCAACAGATTGGGGTCCTACACTTCCTCCCATAGAGCATCTAAAAGGGAGGCCGATCTATACTGGCATGGTAGCTATTGTATTACGAAAATTCTGCTAATGGAAGATACGCATCCCAACTTGTGGCTACCTGAAATTTCTCTTGGATGAACTGTTTAAAAATAAATCAATTCGGATTTATTTCTTTTCTTCTCAGCATTATTTTGTTTCTAATTAAAAATGCTAAGCTCAGCACAATCGAGGTTCAAATCCTAGAACGAGTTTTCTAAGTCGTAACATAGCATCCAGTACAGACACTACTTCGAGAGGAGTGTATGGCTGCAAACTCGAGTTTACGGCCGTACACCCCCACCCCACCCTCCTTGGCCAAAAACTCTACCCTATAAATAGGGAACTTAGTCTTCGTTTCACCCTTTTCCCCCACTTCAAAGACTTTCTCTCTTTACTCTATCACTCTACCTTCATTGAGTTTCCTCCAAGATCTTCAAGCTGTAAGAGTTTCTCATCTCTCTTTGTTGCTTCATTACTCTATCTAGTGGTAAATCCATGCTCCTATCTCATTAAATCTCATCTTTGTCTAGATTTCTCTCTCACCAAAAACACACATTAGTTCTTGGTGGCTAAAAACCTCATTTCCAAGCCTCTTAACAGTAAGTAACTACCATGTATGCTTGATATCTACTAGAAACTATTTATTTTCACCTAAAAATCTACCCAAAATCAAGAACAAAAAAGGGGTTTACGGCCGTAAACCATGTGTACGGCCGTACACCCTTCATTGGCCAAGAACTCCAGTTTTCGTCAATTATTGGTCTTAAAAACGTCCTTAAGCCATGCATGGGACTTAGAACACTTCCAAGAAACTAGAAAGGACCTTGAAATACCACAAATCACACTTTTCCTCGAGTGTTTACGGCCGTAAACTCATGGGCCGAAAACCCATAGACCGTAAACCCATGGGCCACTACAAGAAAAATACCCTTTAATGACGCGCAAACAATGACACTCGCTGATTTACGATACGCATTTTTGTGTGCCCTTAAAATAATGTCAGCCTTCCAAAAATTGAATGATAGAGGACACGCATTTTTGTGTGCCCTTCAATTAGTGTCTTAAGAAAAAAAATAAAAAACACCGAGGGTGCTTTATCTTAAACGCGCGTCCTCTGTAGTTGTCACTTTATAATTTTTTTGAAACGCGCCTTGAGTAGATAGCGGGGGAAAATGAAACCCTAAAATTTTGAAAACCCGCCTTGTTCTTTTCTACCTTCTTTCTTGCATCTTCACAATCTACTCTCCCCTCTTGTTTCTCTAATGTGAGAAGTGACAAAAAGAAGGGAGACTAGGATGGATTTGTCGGTGATGATGAACAGAGGTGCTTTCCGGTCAATCTCGTAGACGGCGTTGTCGATTTCGATGGTGGTGTCGTCTTACATGCGTGAATCCTTAGCAACAAGGAATCGTCTCCACCATTTTTCTCCTTGGTATCGAAAAATAGGTTTCAAAGGGGTGAAATCCATGTATTTGATACTTATGTTTACCTCTTGATTTCGAATTGCTTAGAAAAGAACAATAAGAGAGTCAACGATGGGAATCGTCATAAATCTGAGTTCTGATCTGCTTCGGTTCTTCAATTATCAAGGTAATGAGCTTCTTCTTCTCTTCCACCAAACCTTAAGCGTTTCCTGGTGAGTTTATTTTAGTGATTCGCCTAAAACGATTAACATTTGACAGATACAGAAAATCCATCTATTCTTATCATTTACACATTCATTATTCTCTTCTCTTCAATATACTAAAGAAAGAGGTATTTGTTTGACACTAAAACAATTGTTCTATACTTCTCTTTTTGATCTTGATCAGCGGTATACATATAATTTTTTGCAAATGTTTTCGAATTCTAACGATTTTCATTTATAGTGCACACTAGGTTATAACCCGTGGAAACCATGGTTATCAAATTAGTTAAACTTTTATAGTAAAAACTCAAATTTATTAACGAATTATTTTAAATAAATTATTAATTAAGAGATGTTTTTATTAGTTATATGAAATTATAATGGTTGATTTAAATAAGTATGTAAAAATTATTTTTAAAATATATTAGACATTTTTTATTTGTGGATTAATGAAAACAATAATATAAAATTTAAATTTAAAATTTAAAATTTAAAATAGAGAATAAATACATTGACAAATAGCATCACATTAATGATGATGTCTAATAAATTTAAAATAGAGAACTAATAGATTGACAAGTGGCAACACATTAATTAAGAGGTCTAATATGATAATACATGACAAAAGAACTACTCTTTTATTAGTATACTCTTTTATTAATATAGAGATGTTGAGCGATTTGATGGGCTGTGTGATCCATGTGTGTATTATGGTTTCTATTTTCCGTTGTTTATTTCCTTTTCTATTTGTGTAGAGTATAAATGTCATTTTTTAGAAAATACCTTTCTAAATTGGAGAAACCGCTGATAAACAATGAATGAGGAGGAATAAACCAAAGTTTTCGTTTTTTCCTACCGCCTTCGTCAAATGTCCATCGGGGATCGATCGACACTTATTATCTAACTACACACCGACAAACACCACCGAAGATGGGTTCAATTCCTCCGCTTATCGATCCTCTATCTTCTTCCCTACTCTGTTCTACAACCACTTCCGTCCCCGCCACCGCCTTCTTCCATCGTCATATGTCGTGTCTAACCTCATCTCCTCCAGTGCTCGACGCTAGGCTTCCTACTCCTTACCTCCTTACAGATCCTCGCAGACCATCGCTCATCGTCGCTGCATCTACCACTTTGATGTCCAATTATGTGCAGGTAAAACTCTTCTCAGTGTAATTTGTGAGTTTAGTTTCGGATAAATTTCTTTGTATATCAGTCCTTATATATTCAACAATTCATTTCGTATATATTAGAATGATTTTACTATTTTCAATTGGTAATTCATTATGGAGAATTCAATGAGTATTTTGGTATTTCAAATCATGATCGGTGATTCTATTTTTTTCTTACTCTTTTTGTATATCTCTGTGTACTACCATAGTACAAAATTAAAAGCTACATTTATATTTAGTTTTGCATGTATTATCAAATGGTTTGGTTTGATTTTGGTCATGGATGTTGTGCATATGTAAAGAATCTTTCAATGTTATAAGTTAGAAGAGATTTGGGTGGGGGGATATCATCCATCAAAATGTTGGTAGTGACAATCAAATCATCATTTCTGGGATTTTGCATAGTATTTGTAAAAAAAAAATGACTTCTTTTTCTTTAATATTCTTAAAAAAAAGGCATAGATAATGTTGTGAATGTGATGCTATTCTGTTTTCTTGTATACAACATGCTCCTTTCCTTTGAAGTGTTTTCCCTTTACTATACTATTTTGTAAAGGTGTTTGTACAATTATGTTATGTGCCTTTGATATAATTTATGTTTATCAGTCTTTTTAAACTGTAAAGAAAGTTGTATTTTAATATTTTATATTCGTTTATATTTCAGAAAAGGAAAAACTTTGTCTATATGGATTCCCCAGTGAACAATCGGAGGTTAACCTACTAGCAGAAGAGGTCCCTCCAGAGCTCCCTAACATTCACTAGGTATCAATTTCCGATGTGATGGAATGCCAGAAAATGATTGGTTGTCTCTGGTTGTTGTCTATAGTGACGAATGGCTACTTTCTGCCGCGTATTATTTTGGTGCTAGAATTGGTTTTGACAAGTCAGACAGGTTAATTTTTTTAGGATGTAAAATGAATAATATGATTGTGTTTGGTAGGCATACGCTATAGCTTAATTTTTTGAGCCTATTGAAATGTATCTTTTTAAGTAGTTAATCCCATGAAGATTTTTCCACAAGTTTGACAAATATACCCTTATATGCTCATTTTCAGTTACATACCTTTATATGTCAATTAATATTTTCCAATTAGCTGATCAGGAAGTTTTTACAACACTCTATTACTTTATCAACCAGCTACCAACTTAGCTTATTAAGAAAAAGCTATAGTTTTCCAATTATTAAGGCCAAACACACACAACCTACATATGAGTAAATTACCTACTGTAACCATCACCACAAAAATAATAGCCATGAAATGGCTTAAAATAAGTTGTTTCATGAATGCCCCTAGCCATGAGCTTTTAACATATAAATACCCATTGCATTCCCCTTCAATTTCTTTTCCCTTCTCATCCACTATCATAGGCTAGCTGGATTTTATTTACCATATAAAGAATTAAATAACAATGGAAAAACTCTTGTTCTTTTTTTTGTAAGGGAAGGGTATCGGAGCCACCAAAAATGGGAAAGTAGCAGATCCAGGCTTTCGAGGCCATGCTCCAGGTAAGGGAGTAATCTGGAGGCCATAATGATGAATACCAATCATAGCTAATATTAGTAATACATAAGGCTAAATCAATGGAAGTAGTAGATCCAGGATTTATTTATTTTTTAATTTATTTGCATTTAAGCATAACTTATATAAGGAAAGGTAAAGATTGTACCATTAAGCCTCCTATCTCTGTTTGACACTAGGTATCTGATATTGGACACCTTGAATCTCCAACTCTATTGAAAAACTACCTGTCAAGTGAAGTCAATGAAAGGAATTTTAGGATGAACTACATACAATCCAATAAAAATCTTTTTTTTTATTTAAAAAAATGAAAGCTAAGTTAGGAAAGAACCTCCGGGGTGAAGAATCAGTTATATTAGTGGAAGACTTAATGGCACCAGCTGTAATATATGTAAAACAAGTGCTTGATATCGTAAGCAAGGAGAGTAATAAGGGAATAAAAGGAATTGCACACACAAGGCTTGGTGCTCTTGTTTACAACGACTCTTTTTCGGTTCCCCGTGTTTCTAAATGGATCCAAAAGGTATTTCAGTTTTTTTTGGTATTAAAAACAAGTTGGTTATTTGTTTTTTTCTAATGATGTTTCTGGATTTGCCCCTTTTCAGGCTGGAGGGATTGAAGATGGTGAAATGAAGGGGACTTTTAGTATGGGAATTGGAATGGTTTTGGTTGTTAGTAAAGAGGTTTCTGATAGGGTAGTTAAAGAATGTGAGATGGTGTATCATATTGGTGACGTCTTTTAAGGTAATAAACAATTTAACATCATTACCCTTGAGCAATTTAAAAATGGTTCTGATTTGTTTGATGTTTTTAATTTTATTCCCAGGGAAAAAACTGGAATCCACTTTGTGAGAGGTTAGATAGCTATGTTTTTTTATTAAAGAACAACTGTATATTATTCTGTTTTTTTCTACTTAGTTCACTAACGGACATTACAGCTAAACTATCTAAAGCTAGCTTTAATCTTCTACGGTTTTTGTTCTTACAGTTTTGAAGGTCTTGAACCTCCACAAACAATGATTCGACAGTTAGTGGAAATGGAGGTATTAGTATTTAATCTATTATTTATTTTTTAAATTCTTAATTTCCATATTAATGGTTAAATCAATTACATTATTATTGTAGATTGATCATATAAACACATCACATCTAAATTTTATTGTAGGAAACCAAGTAGTGGAGGTTGCTTCACGTCAAGTTAGGTCATATAGTATGGGTTCAACAACACCTAGGATGTCACACCCCAATACCGAGAACGGCGGAAACGTTCTGGGGCGGAGGACGTCATGTAATGTATCAAAACAATGTAAAGTAGTAACAAGCAACAACATCATCCATTGCATTAATAGTATAAGTTTCAAGTACATGTGCGTTCTTTCATAATATACAACAGTAAAATGAATAATCAGAAAATAAGACGAGTCTGGATTGCTCTGTCTTCACAAAACCTGGTCATCGTACCTGTCTATTTGCGACCTCAGAATACAAGTTATTTTGAAAGCGAGTATCAGCCAAAAAGCTGGTGAATTCATAAGTATTAATGTGTTTTTGATTTGTAAAACTTGTAATGAAAGACATGATATTGTTCTGAAAGAAAGTTCGTATAAGTGTGGAATTGTTTGTATGTAATCGAAACCATTTGGTAAACTCTAGAAATCCCAATGATTCTTATTAGTATATATGAAATCTTCTACCAAGACCTAGTTGTTTTGAAAGTAGTCTTCTACTAAGACCCGACTGTTTTAAATGTAGCCTTCTACCAAGACCCGACTGTTTTGAAAGTAGTCTTCTACCAAGACCCGACTGTTAGACAATTATTATTAATATAAGAAATTGTATCCTTTGGTACTAGGATACTCAAATACGATTCACCTCATTGGTTATGTGGATGAGTCACAAGATAATGGTAATAATATAACTAACTTAAGTATTATCCCTTTATACTAGGATAACTAACAGTGTTAACTTTAGACATCCATTGATGTACATTTACCTCTATTGCTAACAGTTGGGTGTACGAATAGTTAATCCCTTAAACTATACCTGTAATGGTATCAACCGAAGACATTCGTGGATGTGCATTTACCTCTGTAGCTAGCAGAGATTCTAGGAATGGCTAATCCCGTAAAGTATCCTTTGGTACTAGGATATAAAGTCCAATCTATCTCGTCGATGATGTGATTGTATCACAAGGTAAAGACAGAAAGGAGAACTATATAACAATATCCAGACATATAATATGTAATAGTAATTTGCCATATAATATCTATGTAAAAGTATTCATGTGTAAGTATTCATGTAAAAGTATTCATGTAAACGTATTTATGTAAACGTACTCATGTAAGTGTATCTATGTAAGAGTATCCCTATAAATGTATCCATGTAAGAGGAATCTCTGTAAGAGTATCCCTTCATATAGCATGTAGTCTAGACTCATGAATGAACTGACTCTGGTGTAATTTCTTGTAATAGGAATAATGTTTTGTATCCCCTAAACTATTCCTATAATAGTTTAGTAGAATGTAATTGTTCAGTGTCCAAGTAGATTTATACACCCTTGCTACCCAAGAGCATCAGAACATAAGTAACTGATGGAACATTTATGACTATATATGTACACATGATATATAACTAATATTTAAACGACCTTCGGACGGGTAACAGATATCCCACCAGACCACATCCAAATCGAGGAAAAGGAAATAGGGTGGATAGCATTCCTAAGTCTTCTAAACATTTCTTATATAACTATACATATAGAGGCACGCAATTTATAATTTAAAAGCATAAACGAAGTTTTGTAAACCGTTGAAAAGTCTAATAAAGAATTTGTGACTTGATGTCAGTTTATAAAACGATTGAAAGTATTTTGTTTGATAAGACAGTTTAAGTACACGGAAAACCACTGTTTGAAAAGATCTTTGTAACCGGGTTTGAAAGGAAGCTTACAGTGTGTAAGACAGTTTGATAAAGAGCTTTAGTCATGTAAAAACGTTTAAGAAAGTCATTTGAAGTAATATGTTTAGTAAAACTGCTAAACTTGTAGTAAATCCATTTGTATACTAGTTATAAATCACATATGATTGATTTATTAACAACAAGTATCCTAAAATATTGATGTTTTTCGTGCCAAAATAATCATATGTTTGTAGTACCAAAGATGGACGCATATACATACCGTATAAGCAGAGTGTTTGATATATATATATATATATATATATATATATATATATATATATATATATATAACAACACTTTTCATTTCTAAAGTTATGATGTTATCGTGATATATTTTACATACGAAAGTTTCCCTATAATTGTTATAAATCACATATGATTCCGTTGATAAAAAGCATATAGTGAACTTTATTATATAACACACGAAAATAATCGAGTATTTTACTTGTATTCGCCCCTTAAAAGCATATAAAAGTATTTATAGAACATTTAAAAGTGTAGTTTATAGGGGTATGAACTCACTTGATTGATTGAAGAAAGCGTGACGAAAACCGAGCAAAACTTCTACTCGAGAAAGCGGATCTCTCGAGATTCTCGGGAAATCTCGGGAGTCTCGGGAATGTAAAACTTTCTTCCCACCTTGGATATGAAAACTGGGCCTTTGGGATGACTCCAAGGGTTGAAACGCAGAGCTTCGGCACGAGAAAGGAAGGAAATTAGCAAATATGGTCGGCACCCTCGCACCCTTTATATAGTGGCTGGAGGACCTCAGTACGCGGGGCGTACGAGAGTACGTGGGGCGTACTCATGCATCATGCATGAGCGCATCCTCGGTCGAAACATTGGAGCGACGTGGAAGAATTGGAGCCTAGCATCCGAGTACGCTGCGCGTACGAGGGATCGGACCGCTGACTCGTTCTTCAAATAATATCGGGTCTTAATTATATTTATATTTTAATTAATTAGTAAACTTCAAAAATTCATATCTTTCTCATACGAACTCCGTTTTCGATGTTCTTTATATCCATACAAAGGTGAGACTACGATCTACAACTTTCGTTTAGACTTCGTCGGCTAATTTTGAATTTGATTTTAATATTATATTTTTAATAGGCCGGGACAGGAAAAGTCCGTTAAAATTTCATAATTCCTTCATCCGCTGTCTGTTTTCGCCAGACTTTTTACAGTTGTAATACCATTGATGAGATCTTCGATTCTTGTTTAGGTAATGTTGACAAAAATCTGCTCGATCTCGATTTCGAGTTTTTAGCTGTCTACTACTATGCTTGAAACTTCGAAAAATCATAACTTCCTCATATGAAGTCAGATTTGGGCATTCTTTTTAGGTATGCTTAAGGTTTTTGGATGTCTAAAACTTTCATTTAGATACCTAAGGCTAAAAATTATTGTATTGAAACTTCGCGTTTTACGTCTATCAGTGTTGCCGATTTTCGCTGCGAATCTTAGATTGGTCATAACTTCTTCGTTATAACTCGGATTTTAGTGTTCTTTATATGCACGAAAACCTTGATACGATTCCTACCACTTTATTTAACCCAAATAAGATTTTAGGAAAGTTTAATTTTTACCTATATTCGACTGGTGTTACATTTCATTGTCTTGAAATACCGGGTTGTCACATCATCCCCCTGTTAGAGGGAATTTCGTCCCGAAATTAGAGTTTAAGCAGAATTCATACTACGCTATGGATAGAATTTTTATTTGATCTTTGCGTTCCTAAGTGAATTAAGATCCTCGCATGGCCTTCAAGCGAATCTTTCACTATCGGGGAACGACTTTGTTTCTTTTGTTTGCCTTACTGGTGTGATAACTCTTATTGGTCGAATGTATGTTGGATGTTTTGTGGATTGTGAAATTAGTATCCTTGTACCCTACAAGTAGTGTCTCCAGATCTTCAGAGCAATTTCCGTTGTTCCTGACTCAAGATCATGTGTTGTATAGTTAACCTCCTGTGTCTTAAACTGTCTTGAGTTATAGGCAGTGACCTTTCCTCTTGCATAAGAACAAAACCAATTCATACTGATTATGAAGTCAGAATCTTCTTTATATATCACCCCTATGTATACATTCATCAACGACAGATCAACCGTATGAATCTTTGGATTTGAACCTGACGTACTGTACGAGTGGTACTTCGGGGATTTCTTCGGGAAGGAAAAGAAACATGAGGGACTCTATGCATGAGTACCTTGGAGTTCTGAAGTGATGGTTCCGTTAAAAAGATGATTTCGGAGAAAGAGATTTACGCACGAAACTGATATTGTGAGGATTAAATAGACTCTGATCGTATGATGAAATTGGAATCACTTGGAAATAAAGGTACTAGATTTGATCATCAAGGCGTTACAGACAAAACACAATAGTTTAATTTTTTTAATAGAGTTACAGTAGTTTAGAGTAACTACAGGAATACTGCTGCGAACAAAGTATACTACAAAAGGCAAGTATACGCAGCACGAGGGTCCCCTTTACTGACGGGATCTCACAAAATATAAGTACTCGAGTTGCACTAGTTTTAAACATTTTTTAAAAAGACATACATAATGCTGACGATTGAAAGTGAACCGATACTATAGTAGGGTCCTTCGTTGCCTCTTTCCATTCGTAGGTCAAACTCCTCCGGATTCGCCGTTGTCCTTCTCTGTTGGACAGTCCCTCTTGAAGTGTCCCATTACGCCACATAGATGGCATATTCAAGAGATTTCGACATTGGTGTTTGAAGTAATGTGTTGGGTCCGAGTCCGGCAGCAATTTGTAGTATATC